TTTTCCCAGCACCATTTGTTGAAGATGCCATCCTTCCTCCATTGCATGCTTTTAGCCCCTTTATCGAATATAAGATAGTTGTAATTTTGTGGATTGGTTTCTGTGTCCTCTATTCTATACCATTGGTCCACCCGCCTGTTTTGGTACCAGTACCATGCTTTTTTTGTTACTATTGCTCTGTAGTAAAATGTTACATTTTTAATCCTAGGTATTTGTTGCATTTTTCAGAACCCTTCTGTAGTTAACTTTTATTTTCCCCAATAAAATTTAGAAAGCAAAAGAAAGTATCAGCATCAGCCCTTAGGTGAACTGGGATAGAGTCTTCAATTGGTTTGTAGCTATCACTGATCCTCTCTTATATGCCTATGGTGTGTTGTAAAAAGGTAAACATTTAAATTAATGTTTTAAAAAGTTTATTTGAGCAGTTACCATTCATGAATCTGGTAGCACCAAATCATAGGCAGTCTAGACTCCACAAAGGCAGTGTAAGGGGAATCTTTTATAAGGTGTTTGTGGAAACAAGATAACCTGGAAGAGTATATTAGACAAGGCCTAATTTTCCATTGAAGACACCAGTAATCTTTTTGGTTCATTTAGGGTTTTTTTTTTAACCATTTTTTTCCTATATACCACATACAGCTGCCCCTTTAGAATTATAACACTGATTTGATTTGATTCTTTTTACATACCTCCCCGTCCCCCAGCCCACAAACCTTAATTGTGTTATGTCAGTAGTTAGTTCACCCCTGGAATGAGAAACTCAAAGGATTCTACAGTGACTTCAAAATATCTGTTATGGGTAGCCACTTCAGAAAGCACTCTAAGTCCAAATTCAAATCAAAAGAGAGCTTTATTTACCTGGCCAGGGACTGTCACCCACCTGTAGAGACTCAAGCAGCTTCCTGGTCCATCCAAGGAGAATATGAGCATAAAAACCACAGTGACTTGTTTATCATCATATAAGCTAGGCAATCACAAAAATTAAAACATCAATAAGTGGGGCCTGTAGGCTCCAGGCAGGACTGGAATTTTTCAGTCAGCAAGCGATAAACAGAAGCTAAAAAAGCATTAGCTTTGCAGTTCAGTTGACCACAGTCCCAGGTTCAAGCAGGTGCTAGACAGTTGCATCTGAATTTGGGGTTGGCGGGGAAAGAATCTACTTCAAAGTCATGTAGACCCACAAGGGCATTCAAACGCAGGATGTAGCTCACCACGACCACCACTGCATCCTGAGTACAAAGTATAGAAAAACAATTTTTTTAATAAGAAAACAGCTTTCATTTCAGTTTCTCAGAAACAGCTCTTGTAACAGTTTTTTATAGAAGGCAGCAAAATGGAGTCTTAGGTCCATCTGTGACAGTTCTTGCTTTATAATCGTCTTATCTCACTTATCAAAATCTTATATCTATAATCTATAATATAATTTTTTTACTAATCTATAACCTATAACTTACACTCTTACTGATTTATTTATCAGTTCACACCACAACATATCTATATAGCAGAACAAACTCTGCAGAGAACCATGAAGACTTCCTAAAAGCTGCCACCTCCCTCCCCAGGTTCATTGTATTGTCCTAAGCACGTTCCTCTGCTATAAAATCTTTTTTTAAAGAATTCAACCTTTATTTTTTATTTATTTAAATTTTTTTATGTAGTGCTAAGTACCTCACCTATGGGAGGCAAGCATTCTACCACTGAGCTACAACCCCAGCCCTGCAGTAAAATCTTGAATTTTAATATGTCAGGTTTGCTCAGTCTTCCTTCTTTTCCTCTAAACCTATCCTTTTTCCTAAGATTCTCTTTTTCCTTTTTCTTTTATCAATGATATTCTTTACATTTGTCAAGACTGAATTCTTTCCTTTGCAGAAAGTCTTTCTTGATTGGCTTATCACCAAGCCCTCCTCTGTGTTCCTCTTGGTAACTACTCACTTTATCAAATCTGCCTTAGGTATTCTTTATCCTTCTTGGCCTCTTGGCAGAATGTGATGCTGTTGGGCAGGCCCCGGTTGGCACTCTTTCCTCCCTTAGCTTCCTTATTAGAACATTCTCAACTTCTTCCCTCCTCCTGACCTTTTCTCCTGTCTCCTCCTCAACCTCCTGTTACCTAAACATAGGAAGAGATCCTCCAGTGATTTCTTGGGTTGAGTAGACTTATTTATCTGCAATGTCTGATACCCTTCCTCACCTCCATTTCAGTGTTTTCTATTTGTAATGCCATCATATCCATCTGGCAAGGAAAGAGGCAAGCTAAGAGCAAACATAGACTTCCTCATAGCCCCTGAGTCACCCAGGCATGGAGTCCTTCCCTGATTATAGTCACAGCATTAGGTACATTGGCCAATGGTAAGAGTAAAACCTTCTAAGAATCACCTGGTAGCTGCTAAATCTTCTAGAAATCCCAAAACTCAAATCTCTGAAAACTCTGAGTAGTCACTCAGAGCATATGGTCTTATGCAACTCCTGGAACCCAAACTTGGAAGCCATCCCAGGAGTTAGGTAAGTTGGAGGACAGTATGATCTTGTCAGCCCAGAAAATGCACTTCCATAAAAGTATGGAAGTTTGTGCTCATTTCAGAAGCACATATACCAAAATTGGAACAATACAGAGAAGATTAGCATGGCCTCTGCACAAAAATGACATGCAAATTTGTGAAGGCTTGTATATGTATTTTTTAAAGTATGGAAGTTCTACAGTGTCTGATTGCCTTTTCTCTGTGTTAGTAAGAGAATACAAAGGCTTTTTTATTTATTTATTTATTTATTTATGGTTAATGTGAGATACTGTGATCAAAAAAGATAGCAGATGTTGGGCACTGTGGTGCTGGTCTGTAATTCCAGCAGGCAGGAGGCAGGAGAAAGATAGCAAGTTCAAAGCCAGCCTCAGCAAAAGCAATGCACTAAGCAACTCAGTAAGACCCTGTCTCTAAATAAAATACAAAATAGGGATGGGGATGTGGCTCAGTGGTCCAGTGTTCCCAGTGACCTGGGAGGCTGAGGAAGGAGGATCTAGTTTAAGGCCAGCCTCAACAATATAGCAAGAACTTCAGCAACTTAGTGAGATATTGTCTCAAAGTAAAAATGAAAAAAGACTGGGGATGTAACTTAGTGGCAAAGTGCCCCTGGGTTCAATCCCCTATACCAAAAGAAAGAACAAAAGGTAGCAGGCTGGGGGTGTAGCTCAATGGTAGAGCCCTTGCCTAGCATGTGTGAGGCCTTGAATTCAATACCCAGCACTGAGAAGAAGTAGGAGGAGAAAAAGAAAAAGGAAGAGGAGGAGAAAGAAAAGGAGGAGAAAGTGAAGAAAAGGGAAGAGAAGGAGGAAGGGGAAAAGAAGAGGAAGAGGAAGAAGAAAGACAGCAACAGTGTGTAGGCCTATATCCCCCAAGAACATTTCTTTCTTTTTTTTTTTTTCCAAGAACATTTCTTTAGAGAAAATGGCAAAGTTCCATTTGTAGCCTAGGAAAGTTCCCTTTTACAAGGATGAGTGGCCCTTGGATTTCCTGACAAGAGTTATGAAAAACCTTAATCTAAGGTCATCATGATAGCAGATTATTATCCCAATTATGTTAGCAGATTTTTTTAAATATTGATTTTTTAGTTGTAGTTGGATACAATATATTTATTTTATTTATTTATTTTTATGTGGTGCTGAGGATGAACCCAGGGCCTCGCACGTGCTAGGCGAGTGATCTACCACTGAGCCACAACCCCAGCCCCATATTATCAGATTTATATGATAGCAGAGATTCTGTTTTAAACTTCAAAGGCATGATACTAAAAAAATGGATTAAGTATATATGTGTGTCAAGGATTTGAAAAGGGTATGTGAATTTACTATGTGTCAGGCTCTATCCTAGGTATTTTATGTTTTTTTTTAATCTTTTTTATTGATTTTATTTTTTTAAATACACAACGACAGTGGAATGCATTACAATCCTTATTACACATACAGAGCACAATTTTTTGTATCTCTGTATATAAAATATGTTCACGCCAATTTATGCCATTATACATGTACTTTTTTTGCATTACAATTCTTAATACCCATATATACCACAATTTTTCATATCTCTGTTTGTATATAAGGTATGTTGACACCCAATTCAAGTCTTCATACTGTACTTTGTATAATGATGACCATCACATTCCACCATCCTTGCTATCCCTTTCCCCCTCCCTTTCCCTCTCACCCCTCTTCCCTACCTAGAATTAATCTAATCCTCCCATGCTCTCCCTCCCTGGCCCCCTATGAGACACCCCTCCTTACTTTATGTTATATGTGAGAGAAAGTGAGTTATTACCAATAAATTCTGTTCACCAATGGGTCTCCATCTCCTCCCATGGATGAGCACAACCATATACACTCTTCCCTATTAACAATGGATATCATTCAAGATCTCATCTAAGGCCAACTCCTCCATTTGTGTGATGGTTCCCATCCCATCTTACCTAAATGGTTATATTTCAGATCCATTAAATGGAATTTGAGATACTATAAACTAATAATTACAGGCAAGCACATCCTTCAAGTTAAGAAAATTATTAATTGACTCTCAAGTGTAAGGCAAGAGTAGATGTCCCTAAGATTTTTCACAAGGAGATCAACTAGGCTAAGAATCAGGAGGTCTATTGGAAGGGTATTAGAGGTATCAAGTAATGGATTTGTCATCAACTCTTTGAACTTGGGCAAATTACTTAGATTCATCTATTTGAGAGAGAGGCACCATCAGCAAAGCCAGTGCTGAGGATCGAACCCAGGGCCTCGTGCGTGCAAGATGAGTGCTCTACCACTAAGCCACAACTCCTCCCTTCCATTTTTAATTTCATTTTGATTGATAGATTTGTTTCTTAAAATGTGACACATTGAGACCAGGATAACTTGATCAACAGACCTGAAAGTCTTCATTAACTGGCTTGCCAAAGTCAAGACATTTTAAATACATGATATAGTGAACATTCTTTAAATAGTTGTTATAATTAATTGTGTCTTCTCACTTTAAAACAGCATGTTCTGGTTCAGGTTATCTTCTTGGCTTCAGTTTTCTCCTCTGTAAAATAAGAATGATAAATGTATCATTTCTTGGATTATTGTGAGTATTATCCAGAATGACAGAGGTAAAGCATAGCACCTAGAACTGAACAGTTTCTCAATATGAGTCTGCAATAATCATCTCTTTAAGCACCCTTATTTCTCACATGGGAAATCTGAAGCACAGAGAAGTTAGGCATTCTGCTCAAGGGTTAGAACCAGTATTAAATGCCAGGCAGTCTCCAAAGCCCACCCTTTTAACCACTGCACTCTCCTCTCTCTGCAGTGTCTAAACCAGTTTCAACACCATGGTCACTATAGCCACCACTGCCACTGGACTCTCCTTTTATCATTAGCTCTGGATTTGAATTATTTAGTGCATCTAAGTGACTCTGGACATGTGCTAGGAAAATGATGAGTATTTAAGATATGGTCTCCCTAAATTGCTGAGACTGGCTTCAAACTTTCAATTCTCCTGCCTTGGCCTCCCAAGTTGCTAGAATTACAAGTGTGTGCAATGCTGATGCCCTATCTACCATTTTCAGTTTTTAGAGTCTTACCAGGAGTCTCTGAATATAAGAAGTGAGTTTAAGCTGAGCATATTGGCACACACCTGTAGACTCAGCAACTCTGGAGTCTAAGGCAGGAGGATCACAAATTCAAGGCCAGCCTCAGCAATTCTAGAGAGGCCCTAAGCAATCTAGCAAGATTCTGTCTCAAAATAAAAATAAATAAAAATAAAAAGGGCTGGGGATGTGGCTCAGTGGTTACACTTCTGGGTTCAATTCCTGGTACCAAAAAAAAAAAAGAAAGGAAAAAAGAGAAAAATCAAACAGAAAGCAAAGCTTGGTAGTTAAGAGCATGAACTCAGGAGCAGACTGCCTTGGATCTACCATTCTGTGACCTTGGACAACTACTTATCCTCTTCATATCTCAGTTTTCTCATTTGTAAAGTGGAGATAATAATTTTACCTACCTCATAGGATTAAATGATTTAAAATTTATTTGGAAGTATTTATAACAGTGCCTGGCACATATTGTTATGTAAATACTACATATATTATATATTTATTTTTATATATATGGAATCTTTAATATGAATATTTGGACATGTAATTTATTTTCAAATAGTATGTTCAGATACACTAATGCTAAATATATAATAACTTTAGAACTTTTTCAAAAGAAAGAGTGGAGAGGGACAAGATATACATACAAAACACAGATGGGTTTTTTTTTATACACATACACCTGTACCCACCAGCTATGTGTTTTGTTTTGTTTTTTTGAGAGGTGTGCCTTTGAAGAGAAATGATTTGTTTTGATTTTCCTTCTGAGCTTCCCTTCCTATAAGTTCTCCCCCCTAATACTGTGTCTGCTCCTTTGTGTCAGCCCTCACCCAGGCATTGCACCAGGGGGCGGGTCTCCTAGGGACAGAACACATTCCTTGCTAACCACACTGGTGGGCCAGGCATGGCATCTGCCTGAAGTTCACTAACCCACTGAGATTGGTCCTACGTAATCTTGAAACTAGACATTTTTGTAGTATGTGAGAACTTGATTTGTTTTTATGTGGTTTTCTAGCATAATCATACCCATACCTCTGACCACAATAAGTTAATTTTGACTTATCTCAGCTACTCAGAAAAATAACTATTTCCTTCAAAGAAGTTAATGTTATCTCATTAGTCTTAGGTGGTTTCTCTTGGTTAATTTTAAAATTTGTAGTAGATAAGTTATCTCTCGGAAGAATTTTAAGCTTTATGACATTGTGGAAAGTTTCTCTAGCTAGAACCCAGACACTTTAGAGTTTAATCCTAGTTTTGCTCCTGTGACACCAGAAGTAAGTTGCTTCACCCTTCTGGGTCCGCGCTCATCACTTTCTTTTTCTTTTTTTTTCTTTAAAAAAACAAAACAAAACTTTTTTTTAGACAGGATTTTTGCTATGCTGCCAAGGATGGCCTTGAACTTGAACTCACAGACCTCCTGCCTCCACCTCTCTTGGGTAGCTGGGATTATAAGCGCAACCACTGCACCTGGCTTTTCAAATTTCTTTTTAATGGCAAATACTTTTTTATGCTCTTGCAATCAAAATCGGCTTTGTACTGAATCAGTGAAAGGTTGAGACTGGTAGTCTAATCCCTCATTTTACAGAAGAGAAAACTGAGCTAAATAGTAATGAAGTGGTTTGCCAAGGTGAGGCATCTAGCTGAGATCAAAGTCAAGACTGTGGTAGGGAATTATGCTGTGTTGTTTACTAGAGCCCCAGCTATTATGTGCCTGTTAGTTGTTATGTAGCAGCAAACAATATTGTGCTTAGCTTAATACAGAATTTCTTCCTTTATTTAGACAGTTCCCTTTGAAGAAAATAAAGTCCTTGAATTTGTTGTCATTTGCTTTGAGAGATTACAAGCTTTGATCTTAAGTTGTTGGTTGTCATAATTAAAACTTTGAACAGCATTAAATATCACTGTAGGGTACTCATTTCAGCAGCACATATACTAAAATTGAACGATAAAGAGATTATCATGGCCCTTGAGCTAGGATGACACACAAATTTGTGAAGTGTTCCATATTTTTCAAAAAATAAATGTATAAATATTATGCATAGGTAAAAATGAGTAAGACTTTCTGAAAAAT